CGAGCCTACCTCCGCTCGTTGCTTGCCAGTCCATCTGTAGCTGAAAGTGCCGTGTTCATGGACTTTTTGACAGCAGAGCCCACCACGCTGACTCGTGCCGAAGAGGAAGATGCCGCGATTCGTGAAGGGCTCGACCACGTCCGTGAGGAAGAACACAAGCGTTTCTCGGACGAGGCCGCAAAACGTGCCCAGGACCTGCAACAGCATCTCAAGGAATTCAAGCAGGACTTGGTGCAGCACGACGGTCTCTCTCGCATCTTTGCCACGATCAAGTCGACACCTCGCATCGAAGATCTTCCCGAAAAGTACAAGGCGTTGCTCAAATGGGCACGCATCAGCCTTGCCTCGACCATCTTCCAGATCTTCATGGGCAGCGACAACTCGTCCGAGATCTTTTCGCAGATGAAGCGTATGCATGGCATGATGCCTTACTTTATGTTGCGTGGTATCCTGCGCATCTCGAATCCGATGGCAATGGTCAGAGGTGTGCTCGACATCTTCCTCGCGCAGCCATTCGGACAACGCAGTCTGCTCCAGCGCATGTTCTCTAGCAGCTTGCAGGATGAGGTGCGAGAGCTGGACGAAGTATGTGCCGCCATTTCGGCTAAAGTCGACGATCCGACTATCTGCGAAAAGGTTCGTCAGTTCGTCTATGCGCCCTCCGACATTCAAGCACTTTACCGTCAGGATGCAGAGGAGGAGCGCTTGGATCTGCTCACCACCATTCTACGTTCGCCCGAGGCGCCTGCTTTGGACAGGTCGCAGATTCACCGTGTGGTCAAGGCCAGTCAAGCCTACGAGGTATACAAGGAGTATCGCCGAGGCCTCAAGAATCCTGATCTCGAGGATGAGGGCCCACAGGATGACGACGCTTGGCTGTACGAAGACCTACATGTCCTCATCAAGATGCTCACCCGTAAGCGCGACAAGGAGCAACTCATCTCACTCATCTTTGAAGGAGTCACTGCTGAGCTCCTCAAGGACATGGTCACTATCTTCTACTCGCCGCTAGCGCAAGTCTACAAGCTCGCCAATATTGCCGATAGCTTGTCGGATTTGCAGGCGTTCATTACGGATCTCATCAAGACGGTGGAAGCGAACGAAGAGCTCAGCTATACTGACCCGACACGCACTGTACAGGTCTTTGTCGATTTGGTAGAAAGACATGAAGGACGCTTCTACAACTTTGTCCATCAGGTGCACTCCAAGGGATCGGGCCTATTCGATGGGCTCATGCATTGGATCGAGCTCTTCATCAACTTTGTCCGTGGCAATGATCGATCCGCCGAAGTGGTTTCGCAGCAAGCCGGGAAGAGTACCGACAGAACGGTGGGCCAGCAAGGAGGTATCGGAGAGGTCGACCTCGAGATTTGTCTCCCCGCAGGAGGCGAAGAACGCAGGAGAGCGCTCGACGAGATCGACTCGCTAGTGCTGTACGCATACAGGCTCAAGTTCCTACGCGAGCTCAAGCTGCGTCGCAAATTGGCCGATCGCGAAGTTGCCGGTGTAGCTGGCAAACTCATTGGTGCAGAGAAGAAGCGCCGGGCGGATGGAATCAACGAGGACGACGACACGGCTTTCGTCGGTGCTATGGTGGAGAATCTGGGTGTAGGTGATATCTTTACTGGTGAAGTGGCGGATGCGGAAGCAGAGGAAGACGAGATGGAGACCTCCGATGAGGAAGATTCGGATGAGGAAGACGGTGTACATCACCACGTGGATGGCGTCCACCGGCCGAAGTTGAACCGTAAGATCTCGAGCGACAGCGAAGCTGATGCCGAAGACGGTGATACAGCACCACGATGGAGACCCACTCCCTCACGCCAAACCACACTCACACAAGCCAGCATCAAGCAACTGGATAAGGACCTTCCGTCCTTGCCCCAGGGCGCATCAGCAAACGCGGACGGCAGTAGCGGGGAAAAGACTCGCAAGCGTCGCAAGATTCCCTCTCCCAAAGCACCCGAGCTCAAGGTCCTACCCGAGATGCTGCCACTGTTTGTCGAGATGGTACGACCCTTACTCCGACCGGCAAGAACGGCAAGCGCCTCGAGCTTCCGTTCGAACAGCTACGATCCGTATGCCTCCCAACAGCAGCATCGTGCGGGTCTACAGTTGCCGCCTTTGGCAGCATCAGGTACTGGCGACCGACTGACGAATAGTATGCAAGACATGAATCTGGCAGCCACGTCATCGCCTACTTCGTACGTGTCATCGCCGTTCGCGACGCCGAGGGGTGATGGTGAACACGGTAGGCAAGATTCTCGTTCGGATCGGCTGCCTGGCGAGTACAAGTGGTGATTGCGGATCAGCATTACGAACATGGCTGCCTATCGTTGCTTGCACAAAGGAACATTACTGAAATTCACTCCTTCACTCCATGAATCAGCTGATTGATATGTCAGAGACAGGACACAGTGCGTGTGTTGAGTATCGTCTGTGTATGAATGACCAGCATCAGCAGAATGAGAAATATGCCGGAGACTCGAATTTGTTACATCGATGCCGCGCACAAATTGAATTGGAGTTTCTGCAAGATATTGCGTGCTTGCAAGACGATTCCTGCAAGAGAGGATACGTTGTGGACGATTTTTTTCTTCCTTTGGCTCACCCGTGTGATATCGGGAAATTTCAAGATCTTCTCAACGGCAAGACTGCTGCATCCATCAGCTTTCTTCTCAAGCAGCAGATCCGGAACCGACGTTGGACTTGCACTTTCAAGTTGGTATATGCGCTTCGAGTGGACCCTCTTCTTCTTCTCTTCAACATCATCTACCATCTTCATCTTAGCACTCCCTCTCTCTGCTCACCAAAGATGCACGCGATGCTCAAGACCAGTTTGAGTACCGCCGCCTCGAGGGCATCTCGCTCTCGTGTCGCCGGTGCCGCTCGAACTCTGGCCACCGTTTCCGACTCGCCGGTTCAGCATTCCGCCTCCGGATCCAGCAGCCACAAGGTCGTCGTCATCGGTGGTGGATCTGCTGGTATGGCCGTCAGCCACCAGCTCATCCGCTCCGGCGCCTTTGCCCAGGACGATATCGCCATCGTCGACCCTTCCGAGTGGCATCACTACCAGCCAGGCTGGACTCTTGTTGGAGGTGGACTCAAGGACAAGCGCGATCTTCGCCGCCCACTCACCTCCCTACTCGACCCCAAGCTCAAGCACTATGCCTCCGCCGTCGACACTTTTGCCCCTGAACAGAACCAGATTACCCTTGCCAACGGCAACAAGATCGCTTACGACCAGCTTGTTGTGGTCCCCGGACTCAGCATCAACTACGACGCCATCAAAGGCCTCCCGGAAGCCCTCGCCGATCCTTCCTCGCTCGTCTCCACCATCTACGGCTACAACACGTGCGACAAGGTCTTTGACACCATCTCCAAGCTCAAGTCGGGTAAGGCAATCTTCACCCAGCCTGCTGGTGTGATCAAGTGCGCCGGTGCGCCCCAGAAGGCCATGTGGCTCGCATTGGACCACTGGAAGAACACCGGGTTGTACAACCCTGCCGATGTTGCCAGCTCACCGATCTCGATCGACTTTGCCACGGGTCTGCCGGTCATGTTTGGCGTGCCCAAGTACAGCGAGAGGCTCAACGAGCTCAGGAAGGAGCGCGGGGTGGACGGCCTGTTTGAGCACGATCTGGTTGCGATCGAGGGCAACACTGCCGTGTTTGCTCGTCCCAACGGCGCTGAGCAGGTGAGGAAGCAGTTCGATCTGCTTCATGTCACTCCCAAGATGGGCCCTTTGTCGGTGATCAAGAACAGCCCGCTCGCCGATGGGGCTGGCTTTGTCGATGTCGACCAGGGCACTACCAGGCACAAGAGGTTCGACAATGTCTGGAGTATCGGCGATGCTTCCTCGCTGCCCACTTCCAAGACTGCAGCTGCAATCACAGCCGAGGCTCCCGTGCTGGTTCGTAACCTGGGCCAGGCTCTTGAGGGTAAGGAGCCTGACGCGGCGTACGACGGATACACTTCGTGCCCGCTCTTGACCGAGTACGGTAAGGTGATGCTGGCAGAATTCAAATATGGTGGTCAGCCCAAGGAGACCTTTGGCAGCCTCTTTGGCATTGACCAGGGTGTCCCAAGGACCGCATTCTACCACTTGAAGAAGGACTTCTTCCCCTGGGTTTACTACAACTCATACGTCAAGGGAACGTGGAGCGGCCCAAAGGGTTTCTCCTTCTCTGCGGCACCTATCAGCCCTGAGGCTGTTTCGGGCAAGCGCACCTTCTCCTCGCTCTCTCGTAGCGGCATTCCTGGCGCCCGCCGAGGCTTTGCCACCTCCAGCGTAGGCTTGCGCAACACCCCTGCCCGACGACCTCGCGACCCCTTGGACGCATCCCCCGATGCTGTCCGCCACACCCTCCCCTCGGGCGAGACCTTCATCGTCCGCCCTCCTCCCTCGGCAGCACCCGTCCGCTCGACCATCTACCAGCCCCAGCCCTTGCTTTCGGCTCAGCCTGCCTCTGACACTTCCTCGCTTCCTCCCGCCCTGCGCCCTCGCTCCCGTCGCTCTGGCAACGCCAGCGATGCCATCACCCCCGACCAGATCGCAACCATCCAGCGCCTGCGAAAGGAAGACCCCATCACATACACCAAGACCAAATTGGCTAAGCAGTTCAACTGCTCGCCACTCTTCGTCTCTATCGTTGCCCCCTTGCCAAAGGCGGTCAAGCAGGTCAAGAAGCAGCAAGACGAACTGAAGAAGCAATCTTGGGGTCTAAACAAACGCGTCGCTCGTGCTGAGCGTGAGGAACGCCGTCTGCTCTGGTAATGGCTCCAGTCTCTTTTGTAACTTGAATCTTGTCCAATGTGTAACATAATATAGATGCTTTTGAAAGAAGCATGAGTGATAGGCTGTGGATGTGGAAGTGGGTGTCAGCATCTTTCAACGAGAAGAACAGGCTAGCATGATAATGACTTTGTGGAAAGGTAATTTATTGGTTTGTTATATAGGTGCAAGAGAACCTCCTTGAGAGCACGTGCAGAGTAACGGTGGCCGCTTGGCGTAGTGGTATCGCGCTTGCTTTGGGTTGGTTCGGATCCCGAACTTGGTCAATATGCAAGAGGTCACGAGTTCGATCCTCGTAGCGGCCCTTCTGCTTTTTTTGGCTTTTTTTTGAAGCGTTGAGGGCAGTAGAATACTTTCCATCTTTTGATTTATAAGAATATGAAGGAGATATCATCGTTTGAAATTTTCTCTGATGTCAATGTACGCTGGTTGATGGCTTGTGGACAGATGAAATTTTGAAAGGGAGCCGTGCGGGTTCATTTGGCTGGCTCTGACGCGGACGTAAGTTGGCCCTGTTATGCACAGTGGGCTCAAATGTGCAACTGGACCAACAGACGTTCTGATGTATCCAGGTGTATCCTGCCGACTGTCGGCGCTCTCACTTCAGTCAATTCATCGTGCGAAATGTGGTAGAGTCTGTGATCAGCCCGAGACGAGTCATACGATGCCTACGCATAGACTGTTGCAGCTAGCTCAGCTGGTTGGTTGAAGCTGCATGATGGGATCCATGGTTTGATCTGATCTGATCTGATAAAGGTGCATGGCATGCAAGCGTCGAGTGAATCGGACGAGGTTCGCATTGCGTTGAAAAGGAGATGCCAACACACACACCCTGCCAAGCACGCAAGACCCTTTTTGACTCTCGGCGAGACGCGCGGCTTTGTGCTTTAGGAGAGAGTGAAAGCGTGCCTGGCTGAAGAAGCCCGAATAGATGCCGCGCCTCCACACAATCACAGCCTTGCATAAGACTCACACAACTTAGCTCGCGCGAGGCGCACAAAAAGTAAGCCAAAGTACCAAGTCCTTATCATGGACAGCGACGTTCACATACACCATCTTCACGTCACACACACTCATCTCGATTTCACTACGAGGTTCCTCAGTTAGCAATCAACTTCACTCGAAAGTCAAGATGCTATATCGAACGGCGCAGCTGCGACTACGACTGCGTCCTACTGTGCCGCTCACTGCTATCCGCGCATATGCTGTCCCCGTAAACCCATCCAGCTCGGTTGATGCCCTCCTTGGTACTTCTGTACCGCCACCGCCGCGAGAAGGCCAGGAGTATGGCTCTGCCCCGGGAACCTACAGCACCCCGTCCCGATTCGGCAGCAAGAATCCAAACGATATCTCTGATCTCCTCCGTGGCAATCGTCCGCGTGATCCTACCAGCAATGGCCGCAACAACGGCAGCAGCTCGGGAGCAAACCATGCTGATCTGCAGCGCATCAAAGGGACAGCCATCGGAGCCGAGCGCAAGGGTATTCCGATCCCCTCTCGCGATGAGATGCTCGAGGAAATGTTCAAGCGTCCCCTCCGAGAGCTCGAAGAACGACGTAACATCATTGACCGCGAGCATCCGCATCCCATCGATGCGCTTTATGGCCGCAACGAGCTCGACGAACGTGTGCTAGCCGCTGCTCGTGCGCTCTATGCCGCTTCCACCAACCCTAGCCCCCGCTCCTCGACGGACGCTGCAGGCACCTACAAGGCGGCGACAATATCCCATCTGCTCGAAAGGTTCGAGTCGAGATCAGGATACCAGCTCTCTATCGAGCTGCCGTACGAACCAACTCCGTCAAGCGAGCGCAAAGTGCCCCTAACTTCGGCTCATAGCTCGGAAGCCGAGCTGCAAGACGCGAATGACGATGGTGTGCTGCTCTTGGCCTACGTGTCAAATCTCACCGGCGCAAGGGGTACGGAGCGGATCAGTGTCTGTTCAGGATTCGCTGTGGAGGGAGGAGATAAGATCTCAGCTGAAGACGGAGATGGCAAAGGTGCGCTGGTCATTTCCTGTGCGCACACGCTGCGAGCTTCTGCACCTGCAAAGCGGGACTCGTCACAAGCCAGCACTTCGACCTCGGACACAAGTGCGGCAGCAGATAGCATTGCTCTAGCCATCACTCGTACCGGTGCAATCTATCCAGTCCGAACCCTCATCTCCTCCCTTCCCACATCGGACGTCATCCTCCTCCAACTGGGCAACACACCCCTCACGCTCAACGGCACTGCTGACACCAGTAAACCCATCCGCACTCTCCCCGTTTCACCCTATCCGGCACACGTCAACTCCGAGCTGTCCGTATCAAGTTTCTGGGGATGGGAAGACGATTCTGGCGCCATTCTGCCCGCATACTCCTTCGACCACGAACAACAGTCGCTCTCGCTCTCCCTCTCCCCCTCCAGCTCGAGCGCGCCCAAGGGCAGGGAGAAGGAACAAGTCAAACTGGAGCGCGACGATGCCGGACGCAGCAGATGGGGGCGTGCGCGCCTGGTCGAGTACAAAGATCCCTGTGGCGCCTCAGCCATGGTGGGGACCTACGACGAGTTGGCACAGCTGGACTATAAATTGCTCGTCTCATCGCCTGCCAACCCTCCTGCGCTGCAGGGCGATTATGCACTGCGGCTGTCGAGTACGGTCAGTGAGGCAACGAGGCCCGCTGCACTCTCGTCGTCAGGAGTCGGCTCGGGCGGTAGTGCGGGTAGGGAGGTGATGGAAAGCCAGACGAGGAAGCCACTTCCGAATTTCCCACCACCAGGCTCGAGCGGTGGTCCAGTGGTGGATGTGGAAAGTGGCAGTGTAGTCGGGGTGGTAAGAGGACACAAGATGAGCGCGCTTGAAGGAAGGCGAGGAGACGCTGTGCCTGCCGAAAAGGTCTTTGAGTGTAAGTCCAGCATCCCCTACACAGTGATCTACGCGCGAGAAAGGTAGAGCCATCGCTGACATTGTTTCATATCTTTCGATCGTTGGCTGCATACAGTCTTTGCGCTTCCTGGGTTGGGAAGGAAGAACTAGCCCCAGTCACATCAGTTCATCGCTTCTTGAGGTCACACAGCCGTGTTGACCGGATACAGCTGTACACGCATTTGCATTCACTTTGTGAACCAGAAACAAATGTTGCAAGAATAGAACACCATGGTGCTCCGTCCGGAGAGCGTGTCGAACATATCTAGGCTGTGAGAATGCATGCCTGGCGGCTGAGATCTGTTGAGGGTGTTGATTCTTGAGGAAAGAGATCGAGCCGCTTTAGACCTTGCAGAAGGCGGTGATGCTCATCACGCCTAAGGTGGACCACGGATGCAGGAAAGAGAAAGTAATATCACCCTTGTCAGCACCTCGTCGCACGTATTTTCGCTCTTTTGTACTTGAAAAGAATCGAAACTCACCACCGAGCCAGAAACCTTTCTTCTCAGAATCATAGAGAGCAGTAGTAGCCCCACTCATGCCGTTCCCATCGTCCTCCAGGACCTTTTCAACATTCCATTTCTTCCCGTAGAACCTGTCCTGGCCTTCATTCTTGCTGATCTTGAGCACCGTGCTTGGCGAGTGCGTTCCGTAGGGATCCTTGAACTTGGCTAGCAGCTTGGGGACGTTGGGGAAAGAAGCAGTGTAGATGTTGTCCTCTTCGTCTACGGTAAGGTTGTCAGCAGGATAGCCAGTGTGAATGACATCGATGAGTGTCAGAGTGTTGTCGGACTGCAGCTCGAATACGCGAATGTTTGGATCGGCCGATGCGGGGACGTAGAATCTGTTGGGATACTTGGAGGACTGAAAGTCGCAAGTGAAAGGCAAAAGTGAAAGGCAAAAGAGGTCAGAAGTCAGATGAAACCCGAGAAGCAAAGAAGAGAATCATCGTACGACATTAAGACAGGGGAAAATGCAGGGCTGTTACACACCTTGACGACGCCGTTGGGGTAGGGGAACGGACCAGGGTTGGCGATTTTGCAGCCAGTCTTGTCGCAGAATCCCAAATCACTCCTAGGCAGGAAGAAATCGAGCAGTCTCGAGACGCCTGCTTTGGTCTTGTGGTCGTTGGTGAAAACAAAGCTGTCCGGTCCGACTGCGGCAGGGCGGTTAGGCGTGCGGATAGCCTCGCCTACGTACGTCCTGATATGTCTCATTCTGCTCTCTCCCAGCGTGGCTTCGAACAGCTCGACGGTCGAGTTGGCGCCAACCTTCTTGGCGTCCAGCACGGTCTTGGTGACTGGGTCCAGGGGCGGTCGATGGTTGTTTAGAAAGATCCTCAGCGTAGGCTTGAGCTCGGCAGACTTTGCGGGGATTTCGTATACCGAGATACCGTGCAAGTTTAGCGTGTCGGTGTAAGACACAGGCTTCACCTTGGTAATGCGCGAAGCGATGGGACCAGATCCTTTGGTGTCGAGGATCGCAACGTAGTCCGTGCTGGGTCTGCGGGTCACGTCGAGGTTGTCCACCGCAGGAGTCCAGGAGAGGCGGCCCTTGATGTCGGAACAGGCGAGATAGAGCAATCCGGAGGGACGGTGCAGCCACATGTCCTCGCAAGCTTCCAGCTCGGGAATCTTGATGCAAGGTCCGTGGGAAGTGTAATTAAGAGGTCGACCGAGACCGAAGACATCGTGAGCTTTGCTCCCGGGACCGGAGAGGAATTGGTAGGCGAGAGCGGCGAGTGCAATTGGCACGCCGAAGTAGGTGATTAGGCTCGGCATATTGACCTGTGCTGTTGCGGAAGGATGGTGTAAGAGCGAGGAGACAATGGCAAAGCAAGAGGGAATGTGCGAAAGGAGGAAGGAAGGAAGGGAGGTGGGGCTTGATGGGGCTTGATGGGGCTTGATGGGGCTTGATGCTAAGTGCGAGTGGGCCACGAGCGGAAGAAGGTACGGCGGGTCGCACAGACCAAGATTCATTGTTGTACATGTGACGAGTCAGGACGCGTTTGACAGAAGCGACAGTTGACACAACTGTGACTTTCATGCGGATAGCGCAGTCACCATATAAAGTGATCCGCTTCATCTATCACGCTCTTGCCGGTCACAAACCGAAGTGGTGACCGACTTGACACTGCCTCTCTTCCCTCTGGTTTCTCATCATTCATGCTCATCCGGATTCTTTGACGTACTATACCGCTCTGCCACAGCAAAGGAGACTTCGATCTGCACCAAGGTTGCCAGGTGGGACCGTGCATGCACAATTCAACAGGTGTGCAGATCTGGGTCTGACTTTCCCCGCATTTGTTCGGCGTTCTCTGATGCTAGAAAAAAATGTGAAATGTTAAGCTTACAGAGAAGTTGCCCGATGCTGTGACCGATAAAGTAGAGAAAATCACAG